CTGCTGAGCACCTCTCCTCATGATATGCTGAAACCTCTTTCTTGACCTCTCCCCATGTCCCTGCTCTCCTCTCCCACTTCCTCTGTCCCTCCTCTCACTCAGCCCTGCCGCACTTTTCTGCACTGAACTCAACATATGCCCAACCCCTTCCTGCTCCTTCTGAAAACCCATCTGTGCTGTGAAACTCCCAACCTACAACGACCACATACTGCTGTCTGGATCCCACTCTCCTCTTGTTTTCTATCAGTTTAAATCTGTTGACTTCAGAGGTGTTGCTTCTCCCCTCGCAGCTTTTGGCAAGGAGTCAGATCCACTGCATCTGGCCAGGCTGTTCAAGGATAAAGTCTTCCCGGGGAACAAAAGGCTCTTGTTTGCTCAGCAAAATAAATCCTCTGCACTTGTAGCAGTGTATTAACAATATTTCCAGGCTGAACTGTAGCTTCTTCACAGGAACAGTGTATCCTTTTTACTGTCCCGCTCTCAAACTCTTCTGCTTCTGTAAGGTGGGGAAAGGATATTTGGCAAAACCGTCTCCCAGTGATGCTGAGATGATAGTTGCTGAGGTTTAGGGAAGGTGTATGTTAGAGGTTGGTCCTGCATTGTGCTGGACCCAGGGAAGCCTATCTAAGCGTACTGCTCAGCACTTCCTCAGGAGGTTTTCCCTTTACCTAGCAATTTTCAAGAATGTGCCAGAGGAGAGATGGTTTTCATGTACCTAAAGCCTGAAGAATGTGCCTCTAACAACTCTGTATTTATAGAGATGTTACTAATCAAGGATTTTGGTGCAGTTTATAAAGCATCCTTTTGCAGTAACTGACCGTCTTCATTACTGACTGAAAGATTGCTATTTGTCTGTAGCAGAGCCCAGATTTTTGCAGCCATTCCCACACTCTCAGAGTGTCCTTCCTTCCCTCACTGTGAAACCACCCCACCACTGGTGGATGGAAGTGTGCTTCACAGAAGGAAATACCTTTTGGAGGGCTACAGATCACTTGTACTCAGCATGGTAGTTGCCCTGGGACTTTGTGGATACTTAGAAGAATTACATGAAGCTGTATATTTAGAGTGTTGACGTTAACTATTCAAACCCACAGCATCTAAAAACAACTATAGCTTCTCCCAGAGACACCTGCACAGTGATTTCTGTGTGGGAAGAAACAGACACAGTGAAAGGGAAGTGAAACATTTTGCCCGAAATGGCATCTTATGGAGTCAGATCTTTGCAGTGACAAATATGCACCGAGCAGAGCCAGATTTCACATTTTCCAAATGTGTTATTAGGCATCTTTGTCATGATCAGAAACACCACAGCTGAGGTTGTACCTTGGTTCTGCGTTTGTCAGCTCAAAATCTTTTTAGTGTCTGGGTGCTAAGGTCTCTGTTTACCCCAGTTTCTCTATTTGCTTCTTACCTGGGCATATTTCTGTGCCTCTGTGAATCCTCATTGATTTTCATGAGAGTGAAGTGTCATTACTGCAGCAGGCAGTGTACATCAGGTACCTTGGAGAACGGGATCATTAGGGTTCTGTGTCATTAGCAGTGCTTCTTAATGTACCCCGTAACACTTTCTTCTCTGAGAGGTGGCACTGGTTGTATGAATTAGCTACTTCATCGACTCTTAACATCACACAACCTTCAGGGTGTTTATCCTCATACAGCTGAGGTGTGGGAAGCAAGCATGGTACAAGTTGTTCCTAGGTCAGATTTTGGAGGAGCTTGCAAAAAATTGTTCAGGAAGTCTGTGGATGAACAAGGTATTGAGCCCAGGTCTTAAGTGCCTATGACCAAAATGGACTGTTAGACATGATCACCTCAAAGCTAAAGAAAACTGGAATACAGTTTGATTGAGTATGAGATTTTTGGAAAGTGGACAGAGAGCTTTGGCCCTGTGCAGATCTGGTCTTCTTAGTCCTTACTCAAAATTTTCCTTAAAAAGACTGACACATTTTGGTCTCATGCAATTATGGATTGTGATGGAGTTGCTCTGTACTCACAAACTAAGTTTATGCCTGGAATATATGTATATTTTACTTTTAAATAACAATCACAGTCTGCTGTTGAACCCATCTATTATCAGTATCTTTCTTTTCACATGTGTTCAGTTGGGGAGACATTGCTTTAATCCTGCTATAATGGCATCTGATCATACACATTTCTCAATTTCTATTAATTCTAATTACCTACAATTAAAAATAAAAACCCAAGTAGTGTATTTTGTAAAGCTTTCTCTTTTTTGGAAGGTTTCTGGTGGGATACTTTCTGTTCAAATGGTAGAGATTTACATCACGTATCATATGAAATTTCCATTTATAGTTAGCTTTCAAGAGTTAATAAATGTTTACCTGTCACACAGCTCTGATGAAGCATCCAAACTCAATGCTTATCAAGCTGCTGTAATTGGAACTTTTCATACACTACTTAGCATCTTAAAATCCTGATCGTCAGCTGACTTGAAGCTGTGACTATATCTGAATTGCATGTCACAGTGGGACCTGGGTACACATTACCATCTTCCAGGGCATCTTTGGAAAGAAGCTTCTGCATGTAGGTGTGGGCAGGAAGGAAGCTGTGTTATGCTCCTGTAGGTCGTCTCATCTGTGCGACTGGGGGACCAGCACCCTGAAGTACACCATGTTTCCCTGTGTAATGATGGGTAGATGTGTAGCCCATCTGCCCTGTGGTTGAGGTTCAGCCATGGCGTGCACACTAGGACTGCTCTGCCGCACAGAAATAGTCACTGCCTGGAGCTTTTCCCTTCCCTGAGGTCTAATTAGGTGTAGCTTTGCATCTTCCTTGGGCTCTCTGGCACAAGCTGTTGCCCACCTGTATTCCCCAACCACAAGGGTCAGTGCTGGTTCCCTACAGCTTGCACCATTTCCTAGTGGCTTCTCAGGCACGGAGGTCCCCTTTCCTGGCCCCCAGTGAAACTCAAAGCAAACAAAATGGATTCAAAACCAATCTCTCTTAGTTTTAATCATCACAAGATAATTGCATGCTTCCTAAGATTTAAAATATGCTTATATCCTTCTGCCCTGTGCTGGCTTTGGCACCATCCCTAAGTGCTGTTTGAGCTCAGGCACTTGTAGGCTTTGCAGTTCTGCAGAGTCCCATCTCAAAACCAGGGAATCCCTTCCTTTCACACAGGCAGCTTGCTGTTCTCTTGGTTTGGCTCCATAGTGGAGCAATGGCATCTTAACAAAAAGGCACAATCTCTGCCCTTCTCTCCCGAGCAGTCTGCCAGTGCAGCAGTACAACCCCCAGCTCTCTCCAGGACATATGAGACTTTAAAGACACACCAAGAGCCTGTGCTTTCCTTCCTTTTCTGCAGGAATCTAGCACTCTTCAGGCAGTTATCTCCCAAAGAGGAGGTGAAGAGAAATGGTGACCTTTATCAAGTGGCCATCTCACAACCTCCAGTTTAGTGCTCCTCTGCAGCTAGATTTCATCAAATGCACATTAACCAATTACCCAAATTGGCACAATAATCAATTTTCATTAACTGATACAGAATCTAGCAAATGAATAAGTTCCCTATTGGTTATATTTAACCCTTTGTATTAGTGTAGTTGGAGCTATCTGTGACATGTACTAATGCAACATGCTTATGCTAACTTCTATTTTTTATAAGCTCTTCATAAGCCACTTATAAATAGAAGCTTAATATGAAGTGTGACAGATCTCTAATCTTTAGTCTCTCCTTAGCCCTCCAAGTGCTTCCTTTCTGGAAATACAGAATATATCCAGTATGTCCTAGATACTCTCCATTCTTGCTGATGACTTTAGCTCTCAGCCATTGATGCTTTTCACTTCTTAATCACTGTAAATAGATCAGTGCTGCAACTGTCTTTTTATTTAACATTTTAAAAAGGCAAATAAGATGAAAGGGGCAGTAAAGGGGTGATGAATAGAAGATATATTTTGTTGCTCATGTGGTGCTGTGAGGTGGAGGGGTTTTCATGACAGTATAATATAGACATAAAAATACGTATTTCTTTTCCATTGCAAAAAAGAAGAGGATTGGAGCAGCTAAGTGAATTATCTAATAGAAAGGAAAAATACTGAGAAAATACTGTGTGGCATTTTTATGTAGTTTCAGTACTATATGACATTCTTTTCTACCAAAGGCCATGTGTGTAATGGTCTCCCTGTCACCACTGGGCAAACATTGTAACAGAAAATGCCCGGTTTAGTGTTACACAGCAAATCAGTGCCAAAATGGGAGATGGAACCCTAATATCCTGGTACCAGGAAATGTTTATTAGTGTATTCTGGGTTTGTTTGTTTGTTTGTTTGTTTACTTCTGTGGGTGAAAAGCCTGTGCATCAGAGATTCAGGTGGTATGGAAAATTCAGAAGTAATACCTGTTTATTTCAGCATATGTCATTCAGATTTTGTTGAGTCTAATCCCTCCAGCATCCAGTGTTTTTACTTCGACTTTAAAAGAAGTAAAGCCCTGTGGTTACTCTTCAGCCTTTCCTTACATTCAGCTATGAACAGTACAATAATGCCTGTCCCCAGGCAGTAAATGTATTGATATGCATTCACAGATAAGCACATCTACTGAGTTTCTCACAAACAGGAGAACACCTGATGTAGGGAACATCAGGTGCAGAACTTGTAGGATTTAAAGCACAGCCAGAGGTAATAGCTCCAAATTGTAACCTAACCTAACACTTTCTCAGCCATAGATTCCTCCCCCTTTTTTTTCTCCTTAAAACTTTTGCTGCTGCGTCATTGATAAATAACAGCCCTTTGCTCTATAATATATCCCTTTTTTATTTAAACTTTTGCCTTCTTGCTCATTAAACCTCTCCTCATCAGCATTACTTTTACTTTTCAGAAACTTGTATTCAATATTATAGGCTAGGAGTTCTTTTGTTTTCTCCCCGAGGATGTAAAACCCTGGGGGATTTAAGTATCTACTTGATAGGCTCACACAGTCTTAATCAGCCTATAATGGAGCTAATGGCTGTTTGTCATCCTTGGAGATATAAATTTCCTGGTGATGTCTACTGCAGTCAGTACATGAAGTATGCTCTGACTGCCAGCAAGGTCTAATAACCGGGAGAAGGGCAGCCAGCTTCATTAGTGAGAGCGAGACTGAGACCATACCGGCTGCTTTTCTGGGGAACTGTGCTTTTTTGAATACCGAGAGGGGATAATGGATAATACTGGTAAGTGAAATAAAACAGATCTTGATTCTTAGTGGAGCTACGGGGTTCGTTTGTATCCTGTCTCATTTGCTGCAGGAGATGTGTTTCTTTAGCTTGTGTGGCTTCCTCCTTTTAAATGTCCTTTATTAAAGCAAATTTTTATGTGTAAAACGTGACACACTTAAGTTTTTAACCCTTTAGTAGTCTAGTTTTTTCTGGTTTAAGTCTTTTTCCTGGAAATGTGAACCTAAACTGTAATGTGGGATCTGCCTTTTTAAGATTTTCAGTGTTATTTTGGAAGCTATATGCAGGAAATGTGGCAGGAAGGGAAAATGCATATACTTTACTAGGGAAATATCTCTAACAGTTTGCAATAGGTGTGGATAGGTAACTAACAAAGCTAACGAAAAGTAGATAATGCTTAGCTCCCGTCTTATTTTCTGCCTCTATTTTCTCTATATAATGCCTTAATCTCTTTTATATTTAGGACATAAAATACTGAATATATTTGCACTTTTTATTTTCTTTGATGTTCCAACTTTAGATCATGCATTTTCATCCAAAATAATGCACTTCACGGTTTCTAAGGAGGCACACACATCATTGCATCGGTGATGAAATGCATTATATTTGCATTTCCCTTTTGCATTACCTTGTATCACAAGGCAGAGCAAAAAAAGAGCTCTTTGGGATGGATATTTTGCATGCTGCTTTGACTGCTATGATACTTGAACATGTCAGTGTCTCTCTGATTTATTAACACTAGTGCAATACATATTAGGACACAGAATCTGCAGTAGATTCAGTACCCTTTGAAACCTGCTCAAATCTTCAGATTTGTCTAATGTTGACCTTAAAAGTGATGATCACCTTTACAATGTGTGAAAAGATTATTCTACAATAGATTTCAGTCATGAGACTATATGTAGTTTAAATTTGTGAGGGGTTTGGGGTGTTTTTGGTTTTTAATAATAAAAGCAAAACTCTTGCTTATGTCTGCTAAGCTGTCCAGGTCATTCTCATTTCACGTGTATTGTTATCAACTTCTGTGAGAAACAGAAGAATCTTGCTGCTTTTGTTTCTATGAAGTCCAAGAAAAAAAAAAAAAAAAAAAAAAAGAAAGTTTCCCCTGAATTTAAATGTAGGCACAGTGGAAAATTATGTTGCCAGCACCTGTGAACTTAAAAACTGACATAGTCCTAGTACAATGTTCATTTTTGGAAATAATTAAGATTAGCAATACTCTTTGCACTTGGTGCTTTGGTTAGCTTTTAAGAAGCCTTAACATAATACATAATAGCAACTTGTGTTCGATATTGCATGACAAGGCAGAATTTTCTGCTGGAGGAGAAGGGTTCCTGCTCTCCAACACACAATGCTTGTGGGCAAGAGATACCCTGGAAGGCAGAGCTGCTGATTCCTCCAGGTTTTTACACTCTTCAGCATCAACAACTAATAGTATTGAAGTCTTGACAGAGATACCACTTTAATCCAGCTATAAGAATCTGTTCTGGAATGAGTCACATTTATTTTAAAGGCCCGTGTTTGCTTTTTTTTTTTTGGGGGGGAGGGGATGGGGGCCAAGGGGAAAGCTAGTATCTGAAAACCATAGAAACAGATATTCTTCTGTGTGGTGTTTGGGGTTTTGTGGGGGTTTTGTTGGTTTTGTTGTGGGTTTTGTGGGGATTTTTGTTTGTTTTTTTGCCTAAGGAAGATTCCTGTTTGGTTCCTATCTGCAAAATTTGGAAGTTAAAATAAGTAAAGTTGGCTCTCTGCACAATTTACCAACTACTCTCAAAGCCTCTTAGAACACCAGTTTGCTGAATAGTTCCAGATACTTCTTTTTTCATACAGAAACAGTGACTGATACTTTCCATCTTATAGAAAACAAACTATATACACTGTTGAAATCGGTTAAAATAATAGTTTTGGTTGAGAATTAAAAACCAGTATTAAAAAAAAAAAAAGCCCCAAACCAACCCAACAACAGATGGAACCAAGCCTTATTGAAGACGTCATGGCAGATCCTGCTTCTACTGTTTTTACCAGCAATCTTATCACTGCCTGTGTTCAGCTTGGTCAGAGAGCTTCAGCCCCACGTGTGGCATGAGCATGCTCCCTTCTCCAGGCAGCTCTTCTATGAGTCCAGTCACTTCCATACTTCGACCACTGCCGGAAATACATCCATTTCCAAGGAACCTACAGAGTGCTGAGTAAACACAGCCAAGGGCCAAGGTCTGCAGAGTTACTTTTAGATCTCATGATCTCTAATTGCAGCCAAATGGAGTTGGGTGCCAACGTGGGGACTGTGCAGCTGAATACCTCTGTATATCTGGCCTGTGCCCTCTGAATCCTACAGGGATGTGAGTGCACCTTTGAAAGCCCACGAGGTGTAATCTGGGCACTTACACGACCAAACAGACAGGAGGAGGATATTTGCAGCCATAAACATAACTGCCCGATTAATTTGTTCATCAGCAGTTTGCCAACTGAAATGTAAACACGCTGATGTATAGAGGCTGGATACCTGCCTGAATTCTTCCTAAAGAGATGCTATTTCTGGCAATAGAGAACTGCAGAATATTAGCAAAGCTGTGGGTTTGAGTGAGTGCTAGAAATAACAATTTGGTATCAGTGTCAGTGAATCAGGCCTCTGTTATTAAACTCATCATGCTGCCAAAGAGACTTTCAAAGTCAGACCATGGATAATCGTTGGGCAAAACTCCATCTTCTGCTCTGCATAACAGAAATATCTCTGTAATTCATCACTCTTCTTCTCTGCTATCATTAAAATAATTTTCTGGCCAAAGCTGTAATTTAAAAAGATCAGTGTTGCTAATAGGTCACCTATGTGCACTTTTTAGGCTATGGTCTGAGCTATTTTAGTGAGTTTTAGAAACAATGTTTACATTAAGAAAGTCCTTTAAATGTTAGATTGTTTATATTTTTAATCCATGTACCAAGACAGCTCTGCATAATTGTTGTCTTGTGTGTTCTTTTAAAAGCCTTTCCCGGAATAACAATAAAATATTCATCCATCTGTGTACAGCACATCAGGACAGTTCTAGTTGTATTTTTTGCCTATTTTGGCATCAGCTGTTTGTGATGGGCTGGCTGCAGGTATTCAGCTGCAAGGCTGCCTGCTGCTCTGGGCAGGAGAGGGCATCCAGCAGTCCTTGTCGTGCCTCCACTGGCAGGTCCTGGGATCCAGCTTTGCTGCATGAATCTACTTTGGGCCAGGCAGATCAAGCCTGGCAACAGCAATGACGTAATAAAACTCATTTTAAAAAACTCAGGAAGGTCTGGAAATAACTCATGGGGAAAAAAAGAAAATATGAAAGTAGCAAGAAACTTGCAGTAGCAGGAAGAGGAAAGCTGCGGACACAGACAAGCTCCCAAGTGATGCTTTTTGAGGGAGATTTCCTGTAAGGAGTGAGATCAGCAACATCCCTTCACCCAGAGCTCCTAGTCAGCTGTGTCCTGTTCGAACAGGTGTCTCACCTTAAAACAGACAAGTCTTACACACTTATTCTTACCCAAGGAGCATGCCAATGTGATGTACCAAAATCTTAGGGGAAGGATCTCATCAGGGTGATTGGCACCATAACAAGGTGCTGTGTCATACCAGTCGTGAACAAAACCAGGAGTCCTTGTTTCATGTTTCTTGGGGATTTATATGACTTCTTTGCACTTGGAATATTATTTTAGCGGTAATGAGCTAGCTGTGGTTAATTGTTACCCTGAATTATGTAGGCTCTGCAGCTCTGGCTGCAGGCTATGCCTCCAAGTAAAAAATCTGTTTTAAAGGGACTGGAGGTCTTGTGTATTGAATATCCTGTCCCTGAAGAATATCCAGTAGCAACATCAAACTTCATATTTGACCTGTTGTGAAACTTAGAGCTTTCCATTGAAGCAAGACTTTAACTTGAGGTCTGAAACACTGCGGGACGGGGAGGATAGCAAGTGTCAATTTAGCCTTCTTCTGCATGATATCATGTGTCACAGGAAGGGCAAGAGACACAGGAAGCTGTCTGTGGATGGAAATTCTCTTGCTTTTGAAGTAACCGTTCATTTTTGTGCTTCTGTAAGTCAATATGACTTATTTAGCATTCTTTAAATATAAGAGTACTGAAATTGAGTGCTGGTTGAGGATTTGACTTTACAGATGCTTTTTAGTGTCTTACCTTATTTCAAGGCAAATAGGGTGCATCTTTCTAAAACATAGGGGAGAAAAAAATATCAGGTAGTTAGATGAGTAAAACTGGGAGGTGGACTTCAGATTATGATCCTGGTTTCTCATCAACTCATAGTGTTCAAAAGCCTCTAATGTAGCCTAGCTGATCTGTGTGCAGATTTAGGCTAGATAACAATCTCAGTGTGTTGTAAAGTTCACTTGTTACGCATAAAGGGCTCTGAAATACTTTAAACGTCTAAGGCTTAAGCTTGTCTGAATTGTCCCTATTGATCTGAAAAGCCATTGTGACAAAAACACTTGCAATGGAGACAGTGATAGTGTAACTGCAAGTTTCTCAGCCCTTGAGACAACTCCAGACTCCAGCAGCAAAATCAGTCATGCCCAGCTGGCAGCTTCTGTTTTGATCTTCGATGGTAGTTTGCCTATATTCTCCCGAAGTGTGAAGATTCTTTTAGAAAAGGACAGCACCTCCTTTCTCTCTGTCCCACTCATGTATATGTAAATGGTGCTATCCATGACGCCACATTGACTTTTATTGGGTTCTTTTGTCATGTTCTATTAGATCACAAAGTGGTTTGCACATGGACAATAAAATACAAAGCAATAATCAACTCTTTTATACTACATAGCTTATCTTAAAATTTGTCTCCTGTTTGCACCTATACCCTCAGCTGAAGTGAACACTCTAGTGTATCACAGGTCACTGTCTGCTAGAAACTTGAATTTCTTCTTGTTGTAATTTTAGAATAATATTTATGGCTTCTGCCCCTTTACCCAGAACAGTGTGCTTATAAAGGCATGATCTTGGAAAACATTTCTGTGAGGA